TCTGTTTCTTTTTTAACGGCACCTATCTTTGCTCGCAAAAGAGAACAATTTCTCTAAAATTTGACCACATTTCATTGACATCATTAACTTGGCTAAAACAATCAAAGCGCGATTCCAAGTATTCTAAAATAGCGTTATCATCCGCATGAGTGTAATCTCTCACGAAAGTATCCGACGGTCTAGTAAATGAACGTGTTCCTGCAACAGGACATGACACAGCAAGCAACTTGTGATCGGATATTCCTTCTACATTGGCTGAACAACCTTGGAACGAGCTGCTAACCAGTGCCAAATCAAGGAGGGATGATGATGAACTGTCAACCCTGGTAGCCTCAGAAACTAGTTGCTGTAAGCAGAAGTTGAATGCGGTCGTGATCAGTATATCTGCACTTTGAGATTCTTTGCCATCATAAGAAAAGTCAGTCCAGTTTATACCCGGTAGGTTGAAATCTCCTGTTATTATAATCCGGAATCGAGAATTAGTATTATCTGCAAGGTAGTCTTGAATGGCTTCTAAGTATTCGGGCGAAGAACTCGGTGGTCGATACACGCCCCCTAAAAGTATTCTTTTACCAAGAAATTTAATTCTGCATCACACGCTTTCGTGGTTGTTGATGCCATCCAAAACAGTAAATGCGACGTTTTTAATGGCGATTGCTAATCCTCCCCCACGTGACTCCCTATCTTACGAATAAGCTTGTAAGAAGACGGTATGACTTCCGAATCTTGCACATCTGCATGTAGCCATGTCTCAGTGATTACTAAGACGTGTGGCTGATAACAGGAGATAACGTCTTCAAGGAAACTGGCTTGTTAACAACACTACGCGCATTCAGTGAAACAACTCTGAGAACTTTGCTCACAGGCTGTCAATTTTTACTGCTGCTTCTCGTGTTCACTCGGGTTGTTGCAGAATGACGAGAATTTCGCCGGGCCTGCGCATCACGTCGTGTAACTTCCAGCCGTTGGTTTGAAAGCTCGTCCCAGATATAAACTTTATCGTCTACTTTCAGTTTATCAAACAAGAGTGAAACCTTTGCTCCATTGGTTTTTTTTCACTGCTGCTGAATGCCACAACCTGTGGCGTAAGTCGCGAACTCTCTTGGAAAAATCTTCAGATATGGAAATCTGTGTTCCTTTTAGCTTGAAACAAGCCGACATAATTGTAGTTTTCTCAGAGTAATCAAATAGCCTTAACATAATTGGTCGGTGTTTCCCAGCACGTTTAAAACCTACTCTGTGGATGCGCTCTATCGAATTCACTTCGACGCCGAGTAAGTCCTTAAATACTTGTTGTTGAACCCTGTCTTGCAGAGATTTGTTATCTTCTTTTGATTCTTCACTTAAACCATAAATCATCAAGTTGTTTCTTCGACTTCGCTTTTCAAGGTCATCAACTTTAATCGTAAGCTCGTTCACTAGTTCCCTCGTCCCCTTGCACGCTGCTTCGTGCTCAACCAGCATTTTTGTGGCCGTCCAAGCTCTTTTTCAATCGACGCTATCCTTTCTTGAACACCACCTATAGTTATTTCCACTTGTTTTCAGGTTGGCAGAAAGCATGGTGAGCGTCTTATTGGTTTTCGTTTGCTCTTTTAAGATTTTTCTAAGAAGCTGACTGTTTACAGTAGCCTCGGATTCTGATTCCGAAGACGGACCCGGGTTCATCTCCATGTCCCCCGATGCTAACAAGAGCAATCTAATGACAATCAAACAGTCACACAGCGAAACAAACATTGTGGGCTTGGCAGCACTATCAAAGTAAGAGAATCGTCACGAATAGACTGATAGACAGGATATTTGTCACCAACCTGGACGAAAAGGCAGAAATGCAGGAGCGTCCGTCCGAAGAAGGTGCTGCCAAGCCCACTGAAAGGCCGCTGAAGATGGACCTTGGTTTTATAGTCTAGCTGGTCAGTGTCCGCTGACGTCACACTGCGAACGTCATGGCGTCGACACAACACCTGAGGCGTAGCTTCCCATGATGATGTTCCATCGAGGCCTTGTCCCTGCGCATGCGCGATGGTACTGTCTTGGCTGTGGTAAATCCCGGCTGTGGCGGCTGCATTTCCGATGGAAGCGGAAATGTTGTAGGCTCGTGTACTCAGATTTAAGTGCACGTTAAAGAACCCCAGGCGGTCGAAATTTCAGAGCCTTCCACTACGGCGTCTCTCATAATCATATGGTGGTTTTGGGACGTTAAACCACACAAATCAATCAATTGCTTACACGATGGATCCGTGCGTTGAGTTGTGGTGCTACAGCAGCTCCACTCGAGATGAGATGCCACCGTGCCCAGACCACAACGAAAAAAATATTGAAGGACGCTTTGTTCATTCCAGTGGCAATTCGCCTAATGCCTGCGATCATTGAGACAGAGTTGGTCAGAATAGAACGCAATGCGTACGTGTATCTTTAGCGTCAATAGACACGCTGGGCACATCAACGCTACGCAAGCAGTGCGAGTGATCTAGAGGCCGATGCGATCTGCGATCGCCAGCGGCCTTCTAGCACCGTACCGGGGCACAAAATGATGGACGTGTGCATGGCACATTAAAAACGCACGCCTTGAAAGAAGGAGCGAGGACAGCTGCTTGCTGACTAGCCAGAAGTCGTATTATTTTTGTCAACCAGTCGCAGCATGGCTTGCACTGCGCATCACAGATTCAACGTGGCGACGTCACACAGAGGCTGGAGTGACCCGGAGAGAAGGAGGGGCCATATCTTAGAATTAGGATTACATCTGCGGCTGTAGGTGTGCCCTGCATTCATGACAAGTTTGGCATCGTTGACTGTGATGGCACTGTGGATACTGATGCGCGTGTTTACGTGAAATGTTTGAAAAAAATAGAGGATGAGATTTAAGGAAGCTTAAAGCATGCCACATGTTAAAACGAAAGTCGCCTTCGCCACATTGCGGCGGTCGCTAGCTGGAGCTACGCGCAAGTATTTCACTTATAGATTGGCAGGCGCTCGTGTAGTCCGTGAACTTTTGCGGTTAACTGTACCACCTCAGCAGCTGAGGTCCGCTGCATGTGTCTCCGGTAAATTTTTTACAGGGCCACTGAAACTTTTCAGAATGGTCAAAAGCACTGCTGGTCGGCAGTCGAGGCACCTGGGACCACGCGCGTGAGCCAAGCAGTTGCAGTGCAGCATATTGCGTGATATTCAGAATTACTGGCTGAAAGCAGTTAAGCATCGCCACCTCATTTTTCTAGAAGTGATAAGATATAAACAATGACTACTTTAGTATTTTAAATTTCAGTGCAAATGCACGCTTCTCAATGGGAGTTGTCGGTCCGCCTTTGTTTAGGGAGTGGTCGTTATGCGACGCTACATGATGGGTAGCGCCACTTGCGTCACAACTGCTTCCGTGTGCTTTCCCCTGGAGATGCGATAGGCCTGTTTCTCACTGCAATATCGCACGTCTGTCAAATTTGTTCCTTCGTGCTCCTTCTCGGTGGCTTGAACCGATGCTGTCATCGTATCCCATGCAGTAGTGTTCTAGTGATACTTACCCATTGGTTGCCCACATAGCACCACGAACGGTGACACGTCTCAAAACGCCGCATCTTTTACTGAGCATGCATGACCTTCAATGTTGTGACCCCGGAAGAATGCGAGGTGCCACTTTACAGATTTGTACGCAACCAAACTAAAAATTACTTCAGTTGATTCCATTCGTGAGGCCCCATTTGAGGGGTTCTTTCCCCTATGACCGCAAAGCACCCACGAAGGCTAGGCGAGAGCAGGAAAGGTTTAGAGGAGAGGTTGATGAACCGCTCAGTCGTGCTAATCTGACTTGTTTGCATTGATGAAATAGAGGAGGCGTTGTTATAAATATACCCAAGCTATATACCCAAGCTATATACCCAAGTTTAGAGCTATTGGCTTATTTTAGCAACATGGCAGAATAGTTACTGCGACTGCCGCAATAGGTCACCATGTTCTCGCTTGTGCATGGCTTGTGCATGGCGCTTTCAGCATGGCTGCGCGTTCAAAAGAAAACGGTCAAAATCATGACGTGGTCGTGGCGAATCATCTTTTCGCGTGCCATCTTTTTCTGCTTCGCTTCCAGGACGTTCATCGGGAAGAGAGCAGAAATAAAGCAAATAACGTTGTACGGCAAGCCTGTCCATGGTGTGGCCACTAGCCATCACTGTGCCGCATTTTGTGTAGATGCCTAAACTAAAAACCAAATTAAGATGCCCTTTTTAGGTTAATACGGGCACTCCACTACTTTCTAACAATGGGAAACACAGCTCGCAAGCTCTGCCCAGACGTACAGTTTGCGCTTCTGGGTCACGTTAGGCAGGTGTCAGCAACCAATGGACCCCCCCCCCCCCTCCCCCCAGTATAGGTCCCTGGACATCGAGCTCACGACCACTGTTCCAAATCCTTAGGAATAAGGTTGTTATCGTTTGCATGTGACAAATATCTTACTGCGCTGCTGCCTGACATATAGATTTGGGAGGCTATAAACTACATTAGTGAAACCATTCGATTGTTACTGCTGAATGTGTTCCAAGACCCCTTTAAGCAGTCGAAAAGATGGAATATAGGGCATGATTTCTTAGTTTTCTTGGTAAGATTGTTTTAGTGTATGTTTTACACTTTTATATTGTGTTTACGTCAAAAGACAATATTCCCAAGACACTACCATTGGCACGTTTACGTATACTAATTTTTCATGACGTACCCAAGTCTCACAGGCTAACACTGTATACATAGTTTGTATTTGCTCTGCCCAGTTGCATCAGAACTTTCAAAATTTTCTCAATGTTTTTTATTGTTTCGCTCAGAGTGTCTAACGTATGAAAGTACGACTCGTAGCCCCTGGGCTCACTGCTATGACTGTACTGCGGTTCTTTCTTTCTTCACTGAGTACTAAGAAAATAATTATTTGGTTCATCTCCAAGTTGTTTCAGTCACTCCACAAGGGGAAAAAACACCTGCCCTATATATATTTTCCCGCTGGTTCGTCCAGGTTCGTATCTTATTTCATCAAAGGCATGGCGTCGCCATCAATGTCGAGTGTGGAGATCAGTGTCTTGACTCCTCACTACATGGCCCTACTTCAGAGCCTGTGTGTAATCACCAAACCAACTCTTAACGATGTCACCGCCATCTTCAAAGAATTCCACCAACTTTTGGACCCCAAAGATTCCAAGCCTTCTTCTGAGCGACCAACTTCGTCATCAGCAGCCTCCGGCGCTTCCAAAAAACGCGCTGGCAAGTCAGGTAAGAAACCTGTTTTCATATTTTTAGTTGTGTTTAAACGTTATCAGACCCTTGCCAGAAAAAGCTAAATGCTAGGCGAGTGCGTACTGAACATTGGCATGGAAGAACATGCATGACACCTTCTCTCTTCACTCAATCGTTCTTTTTTAGTCACAACCTCATTACAGCCACTACACACAAGTAATACTGAGCAAACATAATCAGAGTACCGGATGGGATATGCTATGCGGACGATGTTTACAGGTCTTTTTTTTTTGTCCGAGTGGCGCAAAGACCACGTGTCCCCTAGCTTATCTTTCATTCGAACGACATGTTTTGATCATACTATGATAAAATATGTCATATATTGTTTATTTTATTCTTTTTGCACAAAGAACTTTTTCGAAACGTTTGCTAGCTGCGCCTATACAACAACGACCGTTATTTTGTTCTCTTTCCTCCCTTTTCTCTTCCATTATTCTGGAATTTCGTCGATTTATTCATGCGCTGATCAATTATTACATCAATTGAATGATAGTGTTGACGAATACACTTACCGGATGTTTTCTCGGGGGTCACAAAATTGCGTGATCACGAGATGTGCGGACAACGTGCCAGGGATATCGCAACTTAGATCGTTGCACTGTGAATCTAAGATTCCAAAAAAAATGTGATTACAGCAAAGAATCTTTGTTTCTTTTCATCCAAGTGCACTCGTGACCTGTGGTTGGCCTCGTTTCATCATGGTCTTGTACTATGTTGCAGAGAATGCGAAGACAAAATTTGCCACTTGCGCCACAGTCCGGCTAATGATTGGTTATAATACTTGATAGTGGCCTATTCGGCATAGTTTTCTAGTATACACTAGAGGGAACTCTGGCGCTAGTTAGTGTCTAGTGGGAGCTGCAACGCACGGCGCTTCAACGAGCATGGGAATGATGGGTAGTACACACATTCGTCTAAAATTCGTACTTCTGGCCTGCTTTTGGCTCCGTGTGCGTTCGTGTGGCTCGAAGTTGTCTTCTCGCGAAACAAAAATGAGCAAACCTTGAGTGGTTGCGCTTCACCACCCTATTATTTTAGACTTACCTTTCCGAATGGGGCGCGAAGTTCAAAAGGTTGAATTTTTCTTTCAAAACAAAACCTTAACCAGCAATAAACGAAGCCGCAGGTACGATTGATTGATTGATTGATTGATATTTGGGGTTTAACGTCCCAAAACCACCATATGAATAAGAGAGACGCCGTAGTGGAGGGCTCCGGGAATCTCGACCACCTGGGGTTCTTTAACGTGCACCCAAATCTGAGCACACGGGCCTACAACATTTCCGCCTCCATCGAAAATGCAGCCGCCGCAGCCGGGATTCGATCCCACGACCTGCGGGTCAGCAGCCGAGTACCTTAGCCACTAGACCACAGCGGTGGGGCGAGCCGCAAGTACGATTCACCGCCCGCAATGCGAAGAATAGGCAAATGTGTGTACTACCCATCATTCCCATGGTCGCTGAACGATCGCAGCGCCAGAGTCCCCGCTAGTTTTTTTAGGAAACTCTATGCTATTTGGAACAGTAGCGCAGATAATTTCAAAGAAGACGACAGCTAAAAACAAGACGCTGCGCTGCATTATGTGAAGTTTTGATCTGCAGTTTGACCGGTTCTCATATTTCGCCACCCATTCCAATCCTTGCACTGCTGTTCCGAATTAGGCAAACAAATAAGTAATTTTGGCCGCATTTTTCATGTGTCTTGATGATGATATTAACACAGGCCAGAAGACACAAAGCTTATCTGAGTGTGTCATACCAACCGCATGCTCGCGCCAGAAAGATGTCTTCTTGTCCTTCGAGCGCATTGGTGACGATAATAAGTGCGGAGCTGCTTTGGGCAAAACCACGCATATAGTTGAAAAAGAGGTAGAAGAAAAGAAATACGCAGCTTAGACAAAGGTGAAGAAAAACAGAAATAAGTAGAAAGAAACGAAAAACGTTCGATACAATAAAAAGAGGGAGGAGATAAGCAATCTAAGACAAAAAAGAAAGAAAAGAATACACCATCTCCAGATAAAGGATAGGAAATTGACAACATTAGGCCGATTGCGCTAACCTTTAATTTTGTGAAGTTGATTGAGCGAGCAATAAAATCGGTATGATGAAGTTCATGAACGAGAAAAATATTCTAAATCCGTCTGAAATTCGCTTCGGATCAGGCTACTCGATATAGCGTGCACATATAGATACTGAGAGTCGCATTCGGTTAGCTCGGCGTGAAAATATGCCGCATGAGTCACGTTGGACATCACGAAAGCGTATGACAGCGTTAAGCATGCAGTTTTAGTAAAGCAGTTGCACAACATGAAGCTCCCAAATTACATTACTGCATGCATTGAGGAATTTTTGTGTAATCGCACATTCTTCTGTTCCCAAAGCGGCATTTCTTCGTCCTACGTACGCGCAAATACGAGTCGTTCCTCAAGGGCTAGTCCTTTTTCTGTATTATTTAAGATACTAATGAGTTCTGTACCACGACATCAGAACGTACAGACATGTTTATGTGGATGACATCGCTTTTTTTTTTTGCTGCGGCCGACAATATTCACAATCTATATCAGGGGCTACAGTCACACTTATAAGTTCTGGAAGGGTGGCTTGGTGAACTACACCTGCATATGAATGCGCAAAAATGCTCCACACTGCCATTTTCTTTGAAAGACCCCATTCATATTTCTCTTTATTAGCATCTAGAGTGTATTCCGCAAGTTGAGGAAATAAAATACCTTGTTGTGCTATACGACCGCTCCGTGTCTTGGAAGGTACACATCGAATACACGTCAGTAAAGGGTGTTCGGGCGGTCGGTTTGTTACGCAAGATTAGTCAGTCGATTTGGCATGCGAAGGCAAACGCTTTTATCAACATACTGTGTGTACGTTTGACCGATGCTGGATTATACGCTGGCGCTCCTGCCTATAAGCTTCGCCCACTTGTAATGCTTGAGAGGCAAGCCTTGCGTCCGTGTTTGGGTCTTCCTAACTTTGTAACCATTAAAGTCTTGTATATAGAAGCTAGACTACCATTACTTGATTCAAGTTTCCAATATTAGCAGTACGATTATTTTTAACTCATGACTTTTTCATGATTTAACTCAACTAGTTAAACAAAACCAACCCGTGTACAGAATGCTACTGCTACAACTCTGGATCTGTTTTTCGTTAGCAACTGCATGCTGCGTCGTGTGGCAGACACCAATGTGCTTGATGGAATATCCGATCACAAACTGGTGTACATGTGCATTAAACTTAATGATGATTCCAAAAGGCAAGAGGGAAGAACGCGTGGTGTATTCTCGCGTGCAAAAGACGTAGAAATACTGGACACATTAGACTTACATTTTTCTCGATTCACTTTACTTTCTGAATGTAGTACTTGTACTGTTAACAACCTTTGGTGTTTCTTCAAAAACCTTGTGTTGCAGTGCGTTCATGACTTTGTGCCAGAAAAAGTGAAAATAATATAAAATGTTAGCCCATGGATTACTATGCCAGTTGTTCGTTTGGGGCGAAGGGCAAACAGGATAAGAAAACAGCATCGTCAGGACCCCACTCCGTCGACCATGCTTAAACTCAGTAACGTGCGTAAAGAATTAAAAGACAGTATCAAGGAAGCAAAAGATCAGTACTATAACGTCACTTTAGAAAACTTCTTGCGGTCATCCCCAGCGAATATTCTGGCAGCATTTCGCCCCAAACAAGAAGCGTTTTCGTATTATATGTGCAAATGGGACTATCGTAACTAATAAAGAAACTATTGCAGAATCATTTAACACGTTTTTTTGTTCAGTGTTTACTGATGTTCAGTATTTTTATTTCCCAGTCTAAGTTTTTCTTTGCAGCATATTGGCCAAGGTGTCACACGCCTCAAGTTCTCCTTACACAGAGTTTCCTTGACAACTTAAATGTCCAAATAAGTGCAGTATCTCCAATCAGTGATAGCAACAGCTCCATCTAATTTTTCCAAAACAAGCGAAACTAACGTCGGACCGCACTTTAAATTCTGTTCTGAGTGATTTTCTGGTTCATTAATCAATAAGGACAGTCATTGTGACAGATGCTTCGCAAAATGAATAAAAATGTAGATTTGGGATATTCGCCCCTATTCTATATTGGTCATTTTCTCCACGCACTCCAAATTTTGTACCCATTTACGTAGCAGAGTTTTCAGCGATCATTTTGGCTCTCCACAAATTCACTGCAACAAATAGTTCGGCAATAATTTTAACTGATTCGCTGTCGGTGTGTTCTTCTCTCACTACAACTGACAACTCCCACGTGCTGAGTACTTTTAAATCATTAGTTCTACCGTATATAGAGTTGGTTAAATTGTTTCGGGTACCGGGGCATAAGGAAAGTTTTCACAATGAGATGGCGGATGTATTAGGTAAATCATCAATAAATGGCCCAGTTATTCACATACTCCTGCATCTAAAGTCGTTATAGGGGCTACATATAAGAGGAAAATTGTTAGAATTTTCTTTGCCATCCATCATAAACACATTTAAATTTCAACACCTAAATTCTCGTTGGAACAGTAAATTATGTTACACGCGCGCAGTGGAAGTCGCAATCACAAGGCTGAGGTGTCATACTCCATATCTAAATTTCTATTTACACAGAGCTGGTCTAGCTGCTTCCCGTAATTGTTAGTTTTGTGGAGTCCCTGAGACATGAGGACATTATCTTATATATTGTAAAAAAAAAATACGCGACGTTGCGCAAAATCGCGTTAGATGCCGCCTTCCGTCTCGTAGGATTGGAGTTGACCACTTCAAAGGTACTTTCGTTGGGGGCTTTGTTCCTGTATTTAACTGACGGGAAAGTTTCCAATGCCTTGCAGGAGTTGGCTAAAGGTTCAAAAAGATGCAGAATTTATAACCTATTATTACTACTAAATTACTTTTTTTCCAAATTGGTTTATTCATTCATTTACCTATTGCTCTTGGTGAAACCATCTGCTTCATTTTCTGTATTCTTTGTTTCTAATTGTAGATTTCTCATCTATTTTTGCCGTATTTCAATATTTTAAAAACCGTGAGTTAACAAATTAACAGCATTTCGGCAGAAATACCCGGTTCTTCGCCAATCCCCCAGCGTGGGTGTGTACCACAGTATCAAGGCACTTCCTTCCCTCCTTCCTTCCTTCCTTCCTTCGTTTCTTTCTCTCTTTCCCTCTTTCTTTCTTTCTTTCTTTCTTTCTTTCGTTCTTCTCCCGCCAAATGGGACCATGTGTAGAAGTGAAAGCAGCGAGCGCAAATGCTTACACTGGGGGTGGCGTTGACGCTGGTGCTTATCGTGTTGTTGCGCAGGAAAAACCCGGGGAGGTGCAACGCACGCAGTGGTGAACCGGTGTTTAATACTGGAACATGTTGATCGCCGCTAATGGGCAATGATTGACAGAACACTGCGATGGAAGAGAGTGTCACAGCCTGGTTTTATTTAACGTACACACTGCGATTTTTTATTGTTCAACAACGCGTCGGCGAAACCTCTCACTGGTGCGGCCATGGAGGTCGATATCTAGTGTGTATATATATACAGGGCGGCCAGTGAACGGTTGTGCAGCGTGAGCAGTCGGTTCTCGCTAGCAGAAAAAACTCGCAGAAAAAACTCGCTAGCAGAACAAACTCGCTAGCATACGGTGCCTCGGTCGGCCTTGAAAGTCTAGATAGGGTGCAGTTCATAAGAGGAGGGGAAAAGGGCACGCGTGCGCCACGGAGATGTAAACGACTCGGGAAGGAAAACCCAGAGGAGAGAGAGAAGGAGCGAGCGTAGACTAGTAGACGCTGCCTGCATCGGTGTTTCGAGGTAAGAGAAGGGAGCATAGGAGAGGAAGAGAGGGGGTGCCCAGTAAGGGTGCCCACGCCGCACACCGGATTGCACTCGACCGTAAGATGCTTCGCATCTAAAAAGACTGCTTAGCTCTGCCCTTCACTCAGCCTAGTCACCATTAGCATAAAACTGCCCTAGTTCCAGTCTGGCCTATCAAGTTAGGTTATTCTTCGTCGTACAGGCGCATACGGACTCATCGTATATAGACCACATATACGTCAGTTAGGTGTTGCTCATTTTCCTAACGTGCAGGTGACTCGCTGTGATCTAAAGAAAGTATTAACAACCTCGTGCAGGTTATAGCAAGTAGCAATCAGGTATTGAGACACAACGTACAGAATGGTCCAGCTAACTCGCTAGCTATTGTGTGTCAAGCCACATTAGAGGCAAAAGGCGGAATGATGTGCGCAAAGACGGAATAGTCCCCTTTATGTCCAGTGTAAAGCATGCTCCACCGTCAGCGGAGGGGCTTCCTATAGTCTGGTCTGGAGCAGTGTAGTTGCCGCGTTGGAGACAGAAATTTGCCGATCTTGGTAACGGCTAAACCAAGTTTATGGAGTGGCGATTACGCTTCGCTTGCTTTGGGAAAAGATGGTCATTGGTTCGCTCGTATTTAACTTTTCGTAAAGACCTAATTCAGGCAATGACAACAAAGACCATTTACACGCTTTATTAACCATGGTGGTCTAGTGCTTAATGGTGTCCTACTGCTGAGAAAAGGCCGTAAATCAAATCCTAGCTGCAGAAACCGCCTTTGATAGACAATGAAATGCTGCAATTTGATTATATCAAATTTAGATGCAAATTAAGGACACCAGATTACGATAATCCCCAGAAGTCTCCACTACAGCTTGTATCGTAATCTTGCATTTAGGACGTAAACATCATGAGTTATGGTAAGTCCAAATGGCTCGACTACAAGTCGTGGATACATGCTTGTGACAAGGAAGCCAAGGTGTTGTGCTACAAGGTAACACGGTAACACGACTACAACATAACACGGTTACAAGGTAACATGGTAACCGGCAACCAGTAACGAGACTACAAGGTAACACGACTGGTGTGCTCGGTGTGAAAGCCTGTGGCAAGCTTATAAGGTACCGACCTTTCTTGTGAATCCTGCACGAAAGACTTAATTTGAGTTTTTCTGTTTTCTCAAACGCACTGCACCAGCGCTTTAGCCAAGGTCTTTAGCTGGCGCTAACCTTTGCTCTTCTCGAAGGTAAGATTCTTGCTGGGAAGCGTTTTTGATTTAGCACGACCACGTGAGTTTGATCTAACACAGTGACCGTGAATGCGTTCTACATAGGCACTTTCAGTCGCAACAAAACGACATGATATAGACGGCGCGACTCGGCGATGTCTCACATCTGTCTCGTTTTGTTGCGGTAAAACGTTGCTAAGCGATTTTCGGGCTACTTGCGCGAGAAGTATGGTGGTCACATTAACTGGTCGTAATGGAGGTTTCATCGGGATGCAGTAGCTAGCTAGTTAGCTGCAATGCTTTGTACCTTGTATCCCAAGTCTTGATTGCCACTTTCTCAACGCTTCCAGCTGCACGTGCCAGTGCTGCGAGCGACGATGGCGACGGCGGCGCAATCGCCCACAGTGCTGTGGGCTTCGAACGCTCTTGCACGTGGGAGCCCGACAATAAGCGCTGTTGGATCATGTCCGACGTGGAGTCTTGGAACCGCGTCCTCGCGGACAACTGCATCGAACTTCGAGAGCTCAATTGGTGTGAGCTCGCGTTAATGGGCTACCAGTGGCCCGAAAAGAAACCCGGGGACAAAGACATGCTTCGGGCCTCGCTACTCATCCATGTGCTGCTGCGACAACACAGGTAATAGGAGGCTGTTTGAATGCTTTATGCTTCAGCGCTTCACTTCATGCACTTTGGCGACAGCTATGCCAGAACCAAAAAGCAGCTGTCGTGCGCCGACGACAGTGGTCGCTTGTGGTTTACAGTATTTGTTATGCTACACCAGACAAAAAAATTCTTATGCAAACACTTCGTACGGGTAGTCAATGAGGGAACTGATAAGAATAGGAAGAACCTTGGAACCCATGCATGTGCCTAAATACTGCGCATTAACGTCTTCTTTTTACCCTACAAACGTGGGCACGAACTACGTAAAAGGTTTATTCTATTCCTTCATCTCAACCTTAGCAAGATTGACGCACATTTAGGAGGCGCCATACGCAAGGATTGGCTAAGATAATTTGAAACTGTATCATGAGAGAGAGAGAGAGAGAGAGTAAGCTTTATTGAATAATTAAAATTACGTGACTAATCCCGGGTGGAGCCCTCTTGTAGAGCCCCACTGGCCACAGCGGCTCGCCGGGCCTGGTCTAGGGTCACCAGTTGGCTCCCCAGTGCCAGCTCGGAAAGCCGTGCCTCCCAAGACCACGTTGTGAGTGTTTGTAGTGAGCGCACCAACCTAGATACTGCATTGGCTGGCCGCTCGGTACATTGGTAGGTTATGTGTGTAAGTGTGGCTGTGTGGTTACTACACCATGGGCATACCCCTGTTGTGTATATCTGTGGAAAAATTGCGTGTAGTTTTGATATGTGGGGGTATGTGTTCGTTTGGAGGCGGCGCCAATCCCGGGCTTGTTGGCTGCTCAAGTTCGGATGTGGAGGGGCATACGTGCGTCTTGTAAGGCGTTGGTTTTCCAATATCTGCCTGCTTGTTACACTTTGCTCTTCATGATGCCCTGTGAGGCGTCCTGAGGAGAGTCCTGCGTCTCGGCCAGTAAGTCCGCGAGCTACGCAGTTTGCCTCCTCGTTCCCCCCCAGGCCGTCATGCCCTGGGCACCAAGTGACGCCATGTGCCTCCATCAACATGGACCCCAAAATATCAGTGACGCACCTTGGAAGTGTGCCTCTAAGGTATAAGCGACATGCAGCTTGTGAGTCTGTCAAAATATACGCTGAACGCCCCCTTCTTTCGGCTTCTCTGATTGCCAAGGCTATGACCGCTGCCTCTGCGGTGGCACTTGATCTGGTGCGTAGGGACGCGCAGGCCACGACTTTGCTTTGGTTAGTCACTGCCAATGCATATGCTTGTTTTCTGGAGCCTTGTGGTGGCGCGGGATAAAGACCGACGTCGGTAAAGTAAGCGTCTGGATCGCTACTTCTCTGCAGGAGTTTTCGTGCTCGCGCTTGACGGCGCTTTTTGTTGTAGAGCGGGTGCATGTTTTTTGGAACTGGTTCCACGATTATTTGATCACGTATTTGCTTGGGTACAATGACTGTCTCATCGCCACAATATTGAGGGGTGAGAGGGTATCCCAGCCTCTGTAGCAGTGTTCTTCCCTGGAGCGTAGTGGTGAGTCGTTCTCGCTGTGCGATTAGCGTGGCGGCGGCCAATTCTTCATACGTATTATGCATGCCGAGTCCCATGAGTTTTTCTGTGCTTGTGCTGTTCGGAAGTCGCAATGCTGCTTTGTACGCAATTCTGATGAGTCTGTCAATCTGCTCTATTTCGGGCTTGCGTGTTGATTGAAAGGGAAGAGCGAACGTGACTCGGCTGAGAACGAAGGCCTGTACAAGGCGTACCGTGTCGGCCTCTGTCATCCCATCATTACTTCGCGCAATTCTAGCTATATATAAGGGATGCAATACTCTTTACGGTGTGTTTGAGTTTGCCTATTGCAGTCTTTACGCTGTTGTTTTCTTGCACGTGCATGCCTAATATTCGAGCTACTGGGGTCCTGTTGATGATCTGTCCGGCAATTTCTAGCTGCAGCGCGGGTGCACGGTTGGACCGAGTGCGTGGGGGTCTTATTTGCAAATATTCCGATTTGCTAGGTGCGCACGACATGCCTGCAGCAGTGAGGTAGCCTTGAATCATGTCTATAGCGGTTTGCAGTACATCTTGTCGTTCTCCATAGGAGCCCTTTGTTGCCCATAGCGTAATATCGTCCGCGTAAAAGGCACAGTCCAGGTTTGGTACAGTCTCCAGCTGGAGGACTAGTTTCCGGAAGCCGATATTGAATAAAAATGGAGACAAGATGGAGCCCTGAGGTGTGCCTTTCAGTGGGAGGTCGTATGGTGATGATTTGGTACGAGCTATGCCAATCTGCGCCTTGCGATTTCCAAGAAAATCGGAGGCATAGTTGAATATGCGTTGTCCGCATCCTATGGCTGCAAGACCGTCTAGTATGATAGAGTGCGCAATATTATCAAATGCTTTTTCGATGTCGAGTGCAACGAGTAGATTGTTGAGACTACCTGGCGCTGGGTTAAGCACTTCCTCTTTGAGCAGTAAGAAGATATCCTGGGTAGACACTCCTCGCCTAAATCCGTACATAGATGTTAGTAGAAGCCCCCGTTCTTCTGTGTATTGCTCAAGGCGAGTAAGTATAACTTTTTCGAAGAGCTTGCCAATGCATGACGTTAAAGAAATTGGTCGTAGCTGATCAAGGCTTCGCCGTTTGCCTGGTTTAGGTATGAGTACAACCTGTGCCAGTGTCCATTCTGCAGGTATCTTTCCACTCGGTGTCCAGACTTCCTGATTAATGTGGTCTGTGATGGCTTGTAATGCTTCATTGCTGAGGTTCCGTACCATGGCATTTGTAATGCCATGCAATCCGGGCGCTGTATTTCTTTTGAAGCTTTGAGCCGCTGCATAAACCTCAGCAAAGGTTATGGGGGCGTCGAGCTCAGTGTTGGGTTCTCCATTGTATTCTTGACTGGGTGTTGGGCTAACGTTTCGCTTGCGTTCTCCTGTGTAGCGTTGTTTCAGCTCTTCTATTAACTGATCCGGATCACCTTGAAATTCCCCAGCTAGCCGTTGAAGGGTAGCGTTTGTTTCGGTTCTTGTTGCAGAGGGATTCAAAAGACTCCGTAGGATGTTCCACGTCTTTTTCATGCTTAATGTGCCTTTTAAGGAATCGCAGAAGGTGCGCCAGTTGTTGTTGTAAAGTTCCTTTGAGTATGCGTTTACTTCCTCCGTGATTTTCGCTATACGGAGTCTGAGTTTCTTATTTAGCTTTTGTCGGCGCCACCGTTTCGTGAGGCCTCGACGAGCTTCCCAAAGATGTGTCAAGTGGGTGTCAATGGCAGGTGCGTCGGTAGTTGTTTGATATATCTTGGTGTTCTTGTCATAGAGACCCTTAATGTACGGTGTCCATTGGGCTATAGTTGTTGGGTGGGCCCGTCTACTTCCTGTTGCTCTCTATATTTAGTCCAGTTAGTCAGTCTGGCTTTTCCGAGCGGGCGTCGCAGTCGAGCTGTTTCATATGTTATTTGCACAATATTGTGATCGCTGCCGAGATTGTCGTCCAGCACACTCCAGCGCATGGTCGCGGCATTGTTGGTTACGGTAAGGTCGGGAGTGGTGTCCCTGTTGACACTATTTCCTATACGAGTCGGTATGCCCGGTGTCGGGAGGAGTGTGTAGTCGTAGCGTTGTATCGCTTCTAAAAGTCGCGTACCTTTGGGTCTGTCTGCGCTATAACCCATGTGGTGTGCCAAGCGTTGAAGTCCCCAATGATGATCAAGCGGTCGCGTGGTTGAAGCTTGTTGTTCAAATAGTGGAAGATATTGCTGAATTCTGCTTTTCTGTCTTGTGGGGGACTGTATATGTTACATATAACCTGCCTCGGGCGTCCTTTCTTCGCTGGCCAGAGCGTTACGATAAGGTGTTGCGTCTCTTCGTTCGGTGCCGTTATGCATGTAGCTGCCAATTCTTTCCGGACGAGTGTCGCAATCTTAGGCGTATTTGGATCCATGTACAGTTTGTAGCCAGAAACTGTTTTAGGCCTGGCTCCCACCTCTTGCAAGCAGATTACGTCAGGAGGAACCAGTGCCGCCTTTATGTATAGAGTGAGTGTAGCGTGCTTGTTGTGCAGGGAATGACAGTTCCAGGATCATATAGTGAGATTCTCGTTTGCTATGCGTCGGTTAATTGCCATGATGCGAGGAGGTGGGTGTGCTTTCAGCGTCCGAGGTAAGCATGCTTTTGGCGTCGGACTCCTGGGACCACGGTTGGCTCTGCTTACGTCGACGCTTCGTTTCTTTGTCGAGGCTTTCATGAACGTATTGCTTCAGGTCATGAAATTCGACAAAGAACTGTTTCATTTGGGCTTCTGTTTGCTGCAGTATGTGCTGTTGCATTAGCTGCAGTTGTTGTTGTAAAGTGAGGTTTGTCGCTGTTTGTTCTGTTCTTATATTGGCTACAGGATCTCGTGGTGGTGTCGATTGCGGTTGGATGTGCCCATTGTCCCGTAGCTTTTCGCTTGGGTGGCTAGTTAGATTTTGAGAGGCCTGGACTGTAGTTTTCGGGGTGGCTCCCATTAATTGGGCCAGCTGTTTTTCGAGCCACATTATTTTGTTCTCGTATTTGTCAAGGCGTTGCTTAAGCTGTTTGTTTTCAGTGATTACTGCTTGATAGTGTACGGTTTGTGTGATGGGGGGAGTACATGCAGACTTGGGAGCCACGGCTTCCGCCCAGTTTACCGGAAGTGATGATGCCTGTTGGGTGCATCCTTGATCCCCGCCGTTGCCTTTGGCTCTCCCTCCTGGAGGACCGCGGTGGAGGTTCTGCTGAGTCGGTGCTGGCGCGCTATTCTTGGATGGCGAATGCGGCTTTCTGTCCGGGGACCGTGAATGCGACTGGGAACTGTGCTTGTCATCGGCTGACTTGTAGGCGTTTTCTTCCTCTTCGGAGGAGAACCAGCGGAGATTCTTGGTCCTCGGTGGGTCGTTGCAAGTGCCCTGTTGAAGCTTATCACTGTGGCCTGCTTGTACTTGCGGCTGTTTAGGCTTCGGTGGCTTAAGTCTTTTTTTGCAAGTTGGATCTCCTGTGGGGTGAGCCTCCCCGCACGAGGCGCAAC